CCGCCCTCTCCACTTAGAATAAATAATGCATTTGCTTAACCCTGCACCGGCTCCAGAGAGGGAACACCTATTAAACGCGTGAGCGAGCATGCATGCATTTCTCCTTGTTTTACTGGCAGTGATGTGAAATTGATTTCTCCAAATAGCACACTAAACTTTACCTGTCAGGTAGAAACTCCGCAACCGAGGCATCAGTGGGAAGCCCGACCTGTGCTTTCAGTGTACGCCATCGTGTGAAATAATCGAAATATAATCTGGCCTTGTTTCTCTCTTCTTAGGCCTTTCTCTTCTACACATTTTTTCTCTTACGACCCTCTGCCATTTTCACAGAACCACGGTGAGAAAGGTGAGCTTCAATGATTGGCTAAAACCGTAGCTCACCACACGTATACGCCTGGAAGATAGCTAACTGGGTACGAGCACGTAGGATGGCGTTACGTAAACATATGATGATTGACAATTAGGAGGACCACTTATTTAGATGATCCACCCGGAAATAAAAGAAAGTCCTCTATACCTTTAAATGAGAATAAACCCCAGATTAATTGGATTGGACAGGAAAAAGTTTTAAGCCTTATAACCCATCCTTGAGGGGTATATATATCTATCTATATATATATAGATAGATAGATATATATATGAACATTCAGTATAATTGAAATAAGAACCTAGAATTCTAAACTGTGCTTCTGATTGCTATTGTTTTAAAATCATTTAAATCTTTTTTTTTTGTAAATGTCATTACCGGGATGTTCATGAGTCTGGTTTTCTGGCTGTACCCACTAAAAAGTACCTGAGAACAAAAGTTCCAAACTGTCCTTTTTAATTCCTGATTTTTTTTCCTGCTGACTTTATTAATTCCATATAAATTTAAAATAATTCAGACAAAACTTGCTGAGTGGAACTTTAAATTTGTTTTTATTGGTGGTGACTTATCAAACACAGGTTCATATCTTAACAGTTTCTCTCTTCAAAGTAAATTCACTAAATATAGTTTATTTCTCCTGCTCATGCAGCGCAGGCAAACAAATGGAGGCCTGTGACCTTTGACCCCTTGGCAGCTTTTTAGCCAATCAGATAAATGCTTATTTTTACTTTACAACAGACTTTATAAGCATCCAATAAGAAAATATAAAAAACAAATTTTGCCTTTGAAAGAATAGAATATGGAGACATTTTGACGTAGAAAAACATTTCCTTCTGGAGTACATTTAGCTTTTTTTTTCTGTATCTATTCCTCTTCTTTTACTTCTTTTACTTCTGAGTGCCACAAAGAACTAAAATCATTCACACAGAAATCAATTTTAACATGGTGACGAGCCAAAAGAAAACCCACTGTACCAGTACCATCCAACAGAACCAGAATTCACAGGACTACAGGGACCAGAATGCTTTGTGGTTCAAGCAGAAACAAAACCATAAAACAACAACAAACATCAGACTTTACATCATATATGAATAATCTCCTGGGTTTTTAAAAACAAAGAAAATGGCACAAGCTGAACAAAACACTTCATTCCTTTAGTTTCAACTTAAACATTTTTGCCACTTTATCTCCGTTCTCCACAGGAGTTGGGTTTCGTTGCCCGCCTGTCCTCCGTCACAGTGCCATTGTTTAAGATACTGCATTTCCCAGCATGCCCCTGCTCCTCCGCTCACAAGGACACACTTCCCTCCATCGTCTGGGATGGAAGGATGTTATGAGGTGATGAAGACAACACAAAGTTTGGGGGCTTTGATGAAAAGCGTCACCACAAAGTGTCGTTTATAAGTCAATAAAAATTCAGCACCAGTGGGGGGGAAGGCCATTTATATATTTGTACACTTGTATTTTTCGCAGAACATTCGGTTTTACTTTTTATTTACAATACAATGACAAAATTTAGAAAATAAGTAGTAAGCTCCTCCCCTTTTAAATAACCCTCAGCTGCTGAATGGCGCAACCCAACCCCGACTGCAAAGAAGCACTGCAATAGAAAAGTTAACAAGAGTCTTTGGCAGATTTTCAGGAAGGAAAGGCCGTCAACTGGAAAGGAAGTTTGCTGCTGTGGGGCTGGACGGTTTAGACACTGGTTATTTATGATGTACGCAGATGAAGATAACAGATCTGAGCCACAATCTCCACAAAACAATTTTCTTTTGAGCTCAAGTGCATGATGTAGGCTTTGAAGTTTTGAAGGCATTTCTTTAGATGCGTTTTGACAAAAACACACAGAACTCCGTTGATATAAAGACTTTAAGATTAGATAAATGTCCAGAAATGTGTGTCCTGTAAAATATATTGTGTAAAAGAAAGGTCCTAACTTCCAAAAGACCCAAAGGCCTGAGAATTGTTTCTGAAAAGCAGTTTTAGTAGGATATCCATCCTGTATCTTCTTTAACTGCTTTATTTAACCCTGCAACTGAAGAGAATGCCCCTCTGACGAATACTGACTATTTAACTTATAACAAATATTTAAAAGTTTTTTTCTTTGTTTGCATCATCCATAAAAGAAAAATCCTGAATGCTTGTTTCCATATCACCATTCTATATGCAACCATTTAGAGAGACCATCTTTAAAACCTCACTGGGTTCAAGAATGTTAGGAATTATCAATGGAGGCAAATGTGATAGAGGTTAATATTTAAACAGTTTAATGCGGTTTTTATGGATTTGTTTTGCTTCCAGATGGAAACTGTGGCTCATTTTGCCTGCTATCATCGGTGATTCAAACATGGGCCTTTCTGGGGTTGAGATGTAGCTGCTGGGATCCTCAGCGAGTCTGACCTCATGGATGTTAATGAGCGGATGATTTTCCTGGTGACTCGATGAAAGCTGAAGATGATTTCCATCTCTGATGGGTTTCTGTTTCTCTGTTGAGTCTTACATGCTGAAGCTGGACTCCACTGACTGCCAGGTTTCACAGGTCAATCCAATTTCTACAGCAAACATTTCTGACTTTATTTTTAATTTGTTAGCCGTCCCATGAGGGATTCCAGTGATTGGTCAGATGAGGAAGAGAATCATCTGATTGATTATAACTCATTATTCAGAAATACAGCTTTAAGAGTATTACAGCTAAATACAGTACATTATTTTTCCTTTTTTTAAGGAGGGTTTCAAGATAACTTTACATAAGTAGTTAATCTTTATATAATTTGTTTTTCTTTCACTATTTAAGTTTACCTCCTTATTTATCAGCAGATAAAAAAAGTAAGTTGCAACATCTAGTTTGATCACTGGATGGCAGCGCTGGTCACTAACCAAACCTTTAATGTGTTCTGTTTTTTTTGTTTTTTTTTTTAAGGTGAATATCTTAAGATTAAAAGTAAAATATTTGTTATCTTACCCATAAATGTTTCTACAATGGTCCAAGGTGCAAAATGTGTTTCCTCTATTTACTGCAGTTATCTGCAGGAGCAATGTCCAAACTAAGTCCTACAACTTTTAGATATCCCCCTGGTCTAACACACCTGAATCAAATGGCTTAACAAACAACTAATTTGAAGTTAAGTTCTCCAGAGTTGTGCCAAGGACCTTATTATTTGATTCAGTTGGGTTAAAGCAGAGACGTTTAAAAGTTGCAGGACAACGCCCTCTAGGACTGGGTTCTGACATCCCTGCTCCACATGCTACATTAGTCTGTTCACTAGAGGGTGATTTGGGCCACGTACATGTCGGTGTGACGTGCTGCACGATTTTGTTCTCATGGCTGCTTTAAGTCACCACCGCAGCAAGAAAACAGGGGCGACGGTTTGTGAAGCTGCATCACAAAAGACCAGCCACAGTGCACCTAAAACCCATCACAGACTCCACAGGAGAGTAGCAAAATAAAACGTTTGCCTAGTATGAAAAAAAAAAAGCCAAACTGAAGGAATAACAGAACAAGAGTAAATATTGGGGAAGCTTTTAGCAAGGAGGAAGCTCAGATCTGTCCTGGGAATAGCTCTCTTTTTACTAAAAAGATAAGTTCTTTTGTATAAAATGACCTTAATATTTATACATTTCCATTTAAGATAGAAGGCCAAATTGATCATGTGTGGAACTTTTATTTTATTTCTACAGATTATTCATCAGGGACTGTTCCCATTGAGTCTGTTCAGGGAAACGAGGGCTATTCAGCAGAACCTTTCGGGCTGATTGGGTGAAGTGAACCCTAGTGCCCACCCAACAAAGTTTGGTTCTAGCAAGTCTGGGTAACAAATCAACAGTGGAGAAAATACTAAACCAAACTGTTACAGTCTTGTTGTCGAGTTCCGCATTAAAACATAACACTGTAATGTGATTGACTGACCTGTTGTGGCAAGGTTAATTTCAAAAGGCTTATACAAAGTAGCACCCCTAGCAGGTCAGTCCCCCCGAGCAGGGGTCGTCAACGTTTTCAGGCCAGGGACCCCCAAATTGATGGCGAGATGGAGCGGGGACACCCTAATTATATAAATTGCATGAAATTGTGTTACATCAAACTGGTCCTATAGTCACTCTATTACAGATGGAGTAATGTAACAATAGTAATTTCGTCCTGGGATTAATAAAGTATTTCTGATTCTGATTCCTCATTGATGGGACAGGTGTTGTGAATGAAACGGTGCCCAGCTTGAAAGAGCTCCTGTGTGTCGCTGAATGTGAGCATTGATGACTGAAAGACATCTTCTGCCTCCATTTATCTGTTTACTACAGTGTGTTGAATTCATGTTAATATGTATTTAAAGACATTTCAATTAGTGAAAAAAATTGCAGGGGGGAAAATAAAAAAAAAATCTAATCAACCAAAACTTTTGTGACCCCCATGCAGCATCTCTGTGGACCCCCATTTTAAGGACCTTAGCTGTAGAGTAAATCCTTGTAGGTTTATTTTCTTTCATAATCTTAAATTGAATACATTAAAATCAAAGATTTTGTTTAAAGCTTAATTATAAATTAACCTTCTTGAGAAATGTTATATTGTGTTAGATTTTAGGGGAAAAAATAAATGAACAATTTAGAAGGTAATTTCTTAAGATCCTTCCTTTTTTTTTTAACAAAATCATTCAAAGATTCATAGTCCTCACTTCTAACTATTCAAGTTTATTTCAGAATAATTTATGCAAATAAATCTGCCACCTCCAACTCAATGATAGGAGGGGGTTCCCAGCACTTTAAACATGTGAAAATGGCTGCAAATAGAAGCATAATAGTGCAACCGTACATCTTGGATCGTGAGTCAGACCCAGAAGCATAAGAAATTAGGCCTTATGCACAAGCAGCAAGGGAGGCAACAAGCGGTTTCTGAATGGTAAGAAGGTAACCTATACCTACATGGAAGGAGTTTTTTTTTATTTTATAGAGGGTTGCTTTGTTTAAAAATACTTCTAGGAGGCAGAAGAATAAGACTCCAATAAAGTTAGTATGGTAATAGGATGGTTGATATAAATTATCATCATTATTTTTGTATTATGATGTATAAGTAATGTTATATATTTGGTATAGTTTACTTTTCTGGGTTTCCATGGGAGAAACAGTGCCTGCTGATTTCGTTGTAATGGTCTAAAACTTTACTTATAAAAATGGCTGGATGTTTTTTTTTCACTGTTTTCCTCCAGCACCCGGTCTCTATGGAAGCAGTGGAGATCCAGATGGAATGCACAAAGGGAATAGAAGTTTCTTTTCAAGAAACAAGGACTAATAAAGTTAGTTTATATTTTCAATCCAGATTTGTGTAATTTTCTTTTATAATCTTTTATAAAGATCTAGTCACTTTTAATCCAGCAGAGCTCAGCCCTTCAACATCATTTCCAAATGTATTTTATTTGTAAATTTTAGTTACAAGATGTGTTCAGACCTTAAACTTTTTTTTTTTTTTTTTTTTTTTGAGATACTTCATCCTAGTTGAAGGTTAAAGCTAGCAGCATTTAGAAGTTGTCAGGGAATACAAGGAGTTCCTGATCGATCATCTGTCTGCTAGCCATTATTTTTGACTAGGATCTAGATTTCTTTTTTATTTTTTCTGTAAATCTTCCAAAAGTTGAAGAAAAACTATCTGCATTTTGACTTCTGCATATTAGCTGATATCTGTGCAACAATGCAAAATCTCAAAAATAAAAGAACCACTTTTATGGCAGTCTTAGCGTTTGGCTACAGCTAATAGGAGCTCATACAGCGGATATACAAAACTTTGGCATTAAATCTAAAATGAACCACATGGAAATTTTAAAATTTAGACAAGGCAGATTTAAGCTTAAAGGTTTAAGATACATCAAATCCAGCAGGCGGTGGACATTTGAACATGGGAGTCAGTGGAGTCTCAGCTTGTAGATCTGAAAGTGTATTTGATTTTTAACAGCAACATCACAAAGCAGAAGAGTTTGCAGAGACTCCATGTGGAATCGAGATGCGGCTCCAAAAGTCTCCCGCTGCTGACCTCAGACTCCTCAATGATGTCCAGAAAAGGATCAGAGTTTAGGGAGCAGGACTTCATCTTCATCTGTTCTGTTCTTGCAGCAGCGGGAGAAAGAGGAGGTGGTGCTACGATGAGGCGAGGAGGAGGATGAGGAGGAGCGAGAGCAATATGGCAGACGGCAGAGCAAGGTTGCTGCCGCCGGTGGTGTCGTCGGTCAGGAAGGGCTCCGGTGATTCATAAATGGAGTCATCTGAAGGAGAGGCAAGAAGAGAAAGGTTAGTCCTGAAACACATTTTATTAAAAGAAGGTCCCCTTTTCAAACTAATTCACCTTTTAAGCTCACGTGTTATTTTTTTTTTGGATTAAAATGTGATTTATGTAATTTTACTGCTTGGATTACTTTAAATTCATGCTAAAAAAGCATAGCCTTTTTTTATATCAGGAGAGTAAAACATGTAACATTTAAATTTAATCTCAAGTGTCCACGTGTATAAAATAACAAATGACAAAAACTTGACCGAAAAAAAAAACGGTCACATTACAAACAGGAAGTGAACATCAGCAAACATTAGAACATGATGAACAGAAGCAAAGCGTTACATTCAATTATTCAATCAATAAAATTTTCATTAATCCCAAAGTGAAATTAAATGTTGCTGTAACTCATGGGCAGTTTCTCAACAAGTTATGGGTGTTGAAAGCCGTAGGCAGGAAGGATCTTCCCTTGCAGACTTCGCAGCTCTATGTGTGGAATCAGATATTACCATAAAACCAGCAGCTGTGCTCGTAATAACCCAAGTGTAGAATGGCTGATAAAAGCATGAAATATGAACTGAGGATGCTTTTCAAACGAACGTCTGAATTACAAACTTGTCTAGATTTGGTTAAGTAAACTTTGGTTCCAGTAAAATAAACGTCTTTCTCCCATATCCAGTGAGCACCATCTAATTGGTTATTGTATATTTTTTCATCTGTCTACAGCTTTTAAATATTGCATTGAACCAAATACCATTAGGATTTGAGGTTGATCTTGCAACATGTAGTCTGCCTTCTCTCCAAGGCGCTCAAGGTTCACAAAACAAACTATGCAGCTCAGTTGTGGAACCAAAGCAAACACCAAAAACTACTGGAAAAAGCTACGTAGATGCTAAACTCGTCACCTGATTTGAACCAAAGTAAACAATCTCTAGGTGTTAACACGCCTCAAGTCCAGTAGAACCACGCTATGGTTCTATTAAGAAGCCGTTATACCTTTGAACTAAGTGAGCTTCTCTAATTTCATTAGTAGATTTCTCTTTCATTGCGACTGTGCAGCTGTAAATTTCGTTTAGCAGCAGAGATGCTGGGTATGGTAAATAGCAAAGAATGACAGACAGGACCAGCCGGTGCTCTAGTGCAAGTCACAGTAATGCGTCTAAAAGCAGTCATCTGTTCCAAACCCCACACTGCCGTGACAAAGTGTAGATGTGAAAAATGGACATGAATAAGATTAATGTCCTCATCTAAAGAACGGAGAGAACATTTTTCATTTTGGAAAATAAGCAACATATTTCTGATGGAGCTTCTGAAACTTAATTCACACCATATGCTTGTAAAGAGCCAAGTAATTATTTTCATGTGTAAAAAAGTGAAAACGGTATGTGATAAGTACAGAGTATGCTTAGTGATTTTTATTGAAGTCACAAGTGGCCTTTGCTATAGACCCTGATCTTTTTATGTCCAATATGCTTTTCAGGATTATTGGAATGTCCTAATGTGATCTTTAGATTCTTTTCTCATAAATTATTCAGTTTTTTACACCATGTCTGTCATTACCATAAAAGGTCCAATACTGAAGCGTGGTCTGCACTCTGTTATACCACACCACAACACAAGAGGGACAATCACAAACTAGCTGTGGGTCTAGGTACGGCCGAGGCGGTGAGGAAGTGGAAAAATGTAAGGGGCAAGTTTATGGGACAACGGAGGGACATGAGGGCCAAAAAGAGCTGGGATCCAGGTGGATAAAGGGTCCCAGCGTTCTCGCGCACCTCCCTCTTCTAGCTGGTCCAGCTTCACGGGGCATTTTCCACAATGGAGGTCATACAAACAAAACAAGCTGGTAAGGTACCAAACAAGGAACATGCATAGTGTAGAGCGGATGTAGATTTGATCAATCAGATGCCTCCCGTCTGCGGTCACCTAGAATTTTGGAGAGGGGCACCAGAGTGTCTGCAGAAGGGGCGGGGGCACATTTGCATTCACTACGACACACATGGAGACAACCTGGTTTCTCAGTATAAATCCGCCCTGATGTTCTTGCTGCCATAGCTCACTGTTACTGTAGTCATTTCAAGATGATTTTTGATACCAGTCATTTTAGTGACATTCTGCTTGTGATCCAAAGTGTTTAGTGGTGATCCTGTTTTACCAAATTAAATTTCCCCTTAAATGACTTTCATATGACTAAATACTATGAAATAAAAAAATCATAATATAATTAAATTTTAGAAGCATTTAAGTGTCAAACATCCGATGGCTTTGATCAAGTTTTCCTATAGTCATAATTTTGACTTCACACAGAATTGATCTCACTTGTTTCACACCATATGTTGGGTACAAAAACAGTGAGGAAAAAGCTAATAACACAAGGGGAAAAAATTTTTTTTAAATGACTGGATCACAGTTTTAAAAATAGGTTAGCGGTCTAAAATTTTTTATCTAAAATGTTCTTCTTTATTATGAAAGAGCATGACCCCCCACACCCCTGTTGTACAAAGTAGTTTGGTCCACATGCAGTTTCCAGTGGGTGGGGCTAACAGCGCTCCTCTCTGGAGCTCTGTGGTTCAGTGAGCGGCAGGCTCACCCTATGAGAAAACCAGTGTGTGATAAACTAGAGGACACTGTGCCAATGTGTAAAAGCCAGCTAGTCATTAATCACATCACTTAATCAATGAGCTTAAGATTATAACATAAATAGATACACTTCTCCCACTTTGTCCAAAATCAGCCTCTGTTTACTTTAATCAGCTCACAGGTTAAGCAAAGAGTGACGCTTATGATGGAAAAGACAGAGGCAGCTTTGGACTGACGGGAAAACAGGGAAGAAAATAAAATAGAGGATAGAAGGAGAGCATTTATGTTTACTGTTTCTTCTGTGTGTTGGAAATGTTTTGGAGTGACTGACAGACATCTATACTTTTTACAGATAGATAACTCGATGAATGGATGTTTAAAACATTTTATCTTTTAGGCCTGCAGTTATCAGGTGCCTTATCTTGTTATATATATATATTTTTTTTATATTTTAGTAAATGTGTACTTCTAAAAGGTTACTCCATGTGGAATTATTCTTAAAGGTATTTTCTTAAAAATTTTCGAATTTAGTTTAAGCTTATATTTCCATGAAGCGTGAGATTTATAGACTGATCGGTGCATCTGCTGTTATAGTGCAGACGCTGCACCGGTGAAGAGAGAGCTGAGCAAAGAGGCAAAGCTCTAGACTTACTTGTCTACATTCCTACCCTCACCTACATTCATGAAACCTGGGTTTTGACCGAAAGAATGAGATCCAGGATTCACGAGCTGAAATGATCCTTCTCTGTAGGTTGGCTGGGCTCTTGAGAGGGTGAGGAGCTTGGTCATTCTGCGAGGCTCGGACATCTTTTTTAGATGACCCCTGGACGCCTCCCACCAGAGGTGTTCCAGGCATGTCCCACTGGGAGGATGCCGAAGGGACGACCCAGAATATACAGTGGAGGAACAAAGTCTCTCTGCAGGCCTGAGAGCACCACAGGCTTTACTGAGCGGAGCTGGAGGAGATGTGTGGAGAGAGGGAAGTCTGGGAATCTCAGTTGAGACTGCTGCCCCCAAGAAGCGGTTCTAAATGAAGTGGAAGAAGACGAGTATTTTGATGGACTACAGTGAAAATTAGGGCAAAGTGTGGATAAACTGTCAGATGTCATCATAAAGGTGTGCCACTGTCATCTCCTACTTTATAATGTTGTTGAAAGTGGTGGTTGAACATAGAAAAACTGAAAATATAAAAACTGCATGTTAAACTCCTGTTGGACTCCTGTGATTCAATGCTTGAACCCCTATTATTACTTTAAATCACAAAAACTTTACAGCATGTTCTGTATTTACTTTTTTGTTCCATTATATATTGTGAACCTGGCAGGACCAAATTACTGATGCAGCTTAAAACCTGCAGTGAGAAATAATTTGTGCACAGTTTGTTTGCTCAATGCTTTAAATATTCTGAGTGTTTTCTTTCACAGCTCAACTGTTTCAGAGCAATCAGTGCATGTGAAGACGATCCACCTCCTCGCCTAATGGACACTTCTTCATCCCGCTCAGCAGCACACGGCGTTTACTCTGCAAAGCCCCCATCAAATATCTGACAAATCAGCTTCCAGCAGCGGTGGAGGTGATGAACGCTGATTTGTTGGGGTAGACGCAGGATTTCCAGCCAGTGATATGGTGTAAATGTGTTAATGCTGTTCTCTGCAGTGACAGTTAGAATCACCTAAACTGCTTTGAAACAGTGAGGAAGTGTTTAAATCCTTCACTATGACAGCTGCGAGTTTTCACACTTACTCGGCTTCGAAATGACATTTACAGCTTCGCATGAAGCAGGAGGGATTAATTCAAATATGATGATGGCTCCTCAGATTGGAGGATTGTGAATAAAAACATTAGAAGAATTGCAAAGTTTTTGATGTGACAGTTCTTTCAGTTTACAAACATGATGTCACCTATCTGAGGAAAGTAAGGATACTCTACCCCTATTAGCTAGCACTAACCCCAGTTTGGTTGGAATGGCTTTGATATAATGCTTCTTGTAGACACTTGTAGACCAGTTTTTATGATATGGGTCTGAGGGAAATTTATGATATTCCTACTTTTATCTGAGAGATATTTGGGAAACCACACATCATTTCTAATAGATCAGATCTGTTCTTTGTGGACTCACTGCATACATGTCAAGTTTTGGATTTGAAAATATGGGAATCTTTACGAAATTAGCAGCGAGCCGTCCGACTATCAAGCTACAGTATCTATTATTTTTCAAGGCATTTGCACAAGAAATCTGAAATAAACGTTTCGATCAATTGCATCTACAATAAGGTGATCGGATTTTGACTTACAATGCCAACGAAAATCCTGTTTGGAGAGGCAGATATGTTTTAGTTTTTTTAATATATATAATTATATAATACAATAATAAGTGAAATTTGCAAGAGGCTGGTAATATGCAGGAATGTGGGAAAAAGGGGTAAAATCTGTAGCTGACAAACGGGAGACTTGACAGCTTTAATTCACTGGAATGATTTCTGTAATTCCATGTAGCAGGATACAGTTCTGCCTCTGGTTAACAGTAGCGTTCTGGATAGATTGGGGGAAGTGGTGGCCTAGTGTTTAGGGTATTACGCTTGGCATCCAGAGGTCCAGAGTTCAAGTCCCACTCCCACAGACTGCCACAAGCCATTCAGAAGCCATTAACAAAGAAACCGAGGGTAGGGGAGAAGACAGACAAAAGTATTTGGTTCTGGAAGTAAGCACTTGTGCAGTGGTTCTTCTCAGCCTTTTTAAACTTAGCTATGTGGCTCCTAAACAAGAAAAGATAATCTACATTCTAGATTAGGCTCCAAAATAATCTACAAATATTTTTCTACAACTTTTCTTTATTTTTTATCATAGCATATATAGATATATCTATATCTATATATATCAATATACATATATCTATATAGACATATGTTTTTATACCAGATGACTGCAGAAGGTTCAGCAGAGTTTAATTGAATCGAAACTTTACATTTCCTACATTTTTTCCCCTTTTCTTTCAGTTCTTAATCCCTCCCCCCTCCGTTCAGCAGCTAATATTTCAATTAACTTGAATGGAGGTCATAAAGCCGGTTACACAACCCTTTTACCATCTAGTAAATGGACCAAATTTATTTTTCCAGTTACACTGAAACCTCAAAGCTCTTTACCCTAGAGCAGAGGATGAGTTTTAAGGGGTTTTTTTTGTTTTGTTTTTTTACAGTAATTTTGACTGGCAAAGCCACATTTCAATCATGATCCATTTTCACACATCGCCTTACTGTTTTTAATGGTAATAATAAAACCATTTCAAGCATTTATTTTCCTTCATTTAAGTATCCTTTCCAAACAGGACTAACAGAGAATTCAAATCAGCCACATGAATAAGCACAGCTTTTTCTCCACAGTGACAAAAAACACTCGCTCAGAACAGGTGACATCTATCAGGTAACTAAACTCGACATCTAATCAACTCTCCGTTTAGCACAAGCATAAAAGGAGGCCTCATTAATGGGACGCAGAGGATGGGATTCACTTTCACATTTAGGAAAAAAAGCAACAAATCTGCAGCTGCATGAGAGTGAGGATCATCTTTGCAGAGAATTACAGACCAAAACATGAGTGGTGTTGACAGAAATTTAAAGTTTTACAAAATTAAACCAGGTGAAACAAACTTTTTCACTAGAGCAGTATGCAAAATGTTTATACTGTATATATATTTTTAATTTTTTGAAATAAAGGCATGCTTTACAGTCTCAATACAATAATTATAATTTCACTTCATGCCATTTAACCATGACCCTTAAATGGCTCAATTTGTGGCTGTACCCCCACAACACAGGAAGGCCAATCAGGAGAGTTGGTCTATTCTTTCAGAGGATGCCTTCTATTCCTATTGGTGTTCCCATGCCTTTTGGGTGTGCCCACAAATGGATCTGTTAACTTCAATTCAATTCAGTTTATTTATATAGCTATATATATTATATAGCTTATATATATTTCTCTCCAGGATAGTATCACAGCCAAACAGAAACAGATGAGGCAAAGCTACTATGAGAAAAAGCAGAGAGAGCATAACATTAGAGATTGAACTAACAGATTCTGCAGAGTGGGAGAATAGAGATAGAATGAAGCAGAATGATGAAATAGGGGTCCCTATGTCCTCCAGCAGCCTAAGCCTATAGCAGCTTTCACAAAATAATAAAACTACCCTTTCCATAGGGCAACTGTCATTCATTTGTCAGAAATTTGAAAACAAACATTAGGAGCTATTTGTGAGAATATTGGAGCAATGCCAGCAACAAGCAGTACCTGGAATGAAAATGCATTGAAGTTTTCCTTTTTAATCCCCCACCTTTAAAATAAACTAAAAAAAATATTAGCATAGATATTTTATATATATATATAAAAAAGAATCTTGAACAACCACAAAGCTCTTGAACATCATGTGAAAGTGTATAATCTAAGGTTTCATTTCAGGAGTTTATTTGAGAAAAAAATAAAGCTATGTTTCCTATATTAATGCAGGATAGCTGCTACTATTTAATGTATTCAATTTTGGATTTAAAAAATCATTTAATCCCAATAAACATTAGTTGTTTCTATTTTGGTAAAATATACATAATTTTTTTTACAGAATTTGGTAAGTCTAAATGTTACGTACTGGGTTTATTCTATAAAACATTAAGATTTTAATAAAAGTTTTTCATTTTATTAATTGAAAAAAAAAAGTTTTAGGTTCATTTTTTCTTTCACTAGATATAGATTTCCATCCATATTGGAGCTCCAGTCAGCTGTATTAATGTAAAAACGTGTGCTACAATTAAGCTCAGTTCATGTATTTTGTTTTATTTCTTGTCCTTAGTGAATTTCAGCCACCCTGCAGAAATAGACCATTGCAGCACTTGAATCTAGGATCTCATTCTTTTGTTCATTATCCTTCATTAATTGTTTTTTAAAATCAAAAAGTCAAGTTTCAGGTAAAATCTCTGATGATACTGTCCACGTTGTACTGTGCTGTCAAAGCAGGTCAGGAGCATATAGAGTTTATACTGGCATCTGTTTGAGTTTAAAATTTAGAAAGATTGGCTAAAAAGCACCAAAGAACTGTAGAAAATTTGACAGAAACCTATTGAACAATTGGAATACCTCAATTTGTCAAAACATTGTTTAGGAATTAATGGTTTCATTAATACTTAATGACTGTTAAGATTTATGTGAATGGAGGAAAAAAGTTACCAAGTTCAAATGAACGACTTTACCTCTGGAGCCATTTAACTTGTTAAAAAATGTAGAGGTCCGTTCACAGAAAATGACAAAATGTATAAAAAGGTTCTGACTCACTGCTTGGTTTGACGTAGATTTTGAGCTTCAAGCATGGTTTCCCAGCCAGGTTTGGATGTGGGGACGCTGCAGATAAAACACAAAGAAAGCTTATTTCCCTGCAAACAAGTCACTGTTTAAAGCTAGTCGATGGATACATGAAAAGCAATGCAATCCAGGAAAACAACAAAAACATTACATGAAAACATGGTCACACAGTAAATGTAACCTACTAGATTTACTGTTTCTTTAGGATATTTGGAAGGTCCTAAAGTTTAGCTAGTGATTCAAAAGCAACCCTTCACTCCAGAAAACTTTAATCTTTAGTCATTTATGGGGTTGTGAAGTAATCTTTCACTGACTTAGCCAGTCGGTTTGATCTCTGGACTTTGACTAGGCCGTCAGAGCAAGGAAGGAAGGAAGGAAGGAAAAACACAATTAGAAGGAAGGATTATGAAGGAACCAATGGGAGGACAGAAGAGGTGATGGGGAGAAAAGGAAAGCAAGAAGGATGTATAGCAAAATGAATGACACAAGGAGTAGAGACAGAAGGTGCATTTCCCTCAGCTTTCACTAAAGTGCATTTTAAAGTTTAAAATCCCAAAACTTTAATGGAAACGGATACACATTCAAGAAAACGGCCTTAAATTCGCAAAAAAGTTTTCACTTTTTTTGTATCAGCTCGCATGTTGCAAACCTTTACTCACTGATCAGCTGTTTCTGCTGTCGGGGTCTTCCCAGATGTTACTATTATTCACGTAAACATGGCTGGAGGCAAAATTGCCATTGCTAAGGGACATGGTAATGTAGGAACAACTTGCCCAAAAACCACACATTTATTAAAACTTATATTACTAATCTGTGGTCAGTGATGGATTTCAGTCCCTACTGAACATTTACAGGATTAAAGGACTAGTGTCCAAGCAGAATCTAGAAAAAAAGTCATCTATACATTTATATTTAGTAGAATTGATTATTGCAAAACATGTCTTCATAGGTTTGCATAAAAAGTCCATCAGACAGCTGCAGCTGATCCAAAACACTGCTGGCCGTGTTCTCACTAGAACTAAGAGAATAGAGCACATCAGCCCAGTTCTGCAGTCCTTCCACTGGCTCCCTGTAGCTCAGAGAATAGAGCCACAAATCCTTCTGCTAGTCTATAAATCACTGAATGGATCGGCACCTCAATACATAACAGATTTGTCACCAGTGCATAAACCTCCCAGAACACTCAGGTCTTCTAGCATACTACTATGTCCACCCAGAACTAGAATCAAACATATAGAAGCAGCGTTTAGTTCCTATGCTCTACTTTTCTGGAACAAACTGCCAGAAGACAGTAAAAGTGCTGAAAGCCTGAGTTCTTTTAAGTTAAAAACCTAAAATGTTAAGTAATGTATCATTAGTTTAAGTGTGTGCTCCAACTGTTTTATTTGCTTTACTATCTGTTTTTATCATGTTTTTCACTTAATTTTGCTTCTACAGTATTTTACCGTTTAATTCATGTGAAACACTGTCCGTATACTGAACTGTGCTATACAAATAAACGTGCCTGGCCTTACTGCTTGTTTATTACAGCCCTGTGTCACAACGTAATGTGTACAGAGACATATGACAACATTACACTTTGCGCATTTCCTTTTTTCAAACTTTTATAAGTTTGTTTAAGATTGGCATTTCGGTTGGATAGAACCACGGCTACAGATTAGAAAAGACAAGATTTAGACCATGGTATAGAGCAGGCCTGCCCAAAGCTGGCCCTCGAGGGCCGCTGTTCTGTAGGTTGTAGAGGTTACCCTGCTGCAGCACAGCTGATTATGATGATTGCAGTTCAGAAAAAGCCTGTTAATCAGCTATTGATGGAAATCAGCTGTGCTTGAGGAGGAAACCTCTAAAACCTGCAGGACAGCCGCCCTCTAGGGCCGACTTTGGGTAGCCTTGGTATAGGGAATAAAGTTCAGAATAACTAGCTGTCAGACTAACATATGTAGATATTTTCATTGAAACTCACGCTCAATCCAATGAAAGGAAGGAGCAAACAAACCCCAGCTCATCATCCCACCACCACCATGCTTGACAATCAGGCCATTCTTGGCCAATGACTCCATTTAAACAGACATGTCCAAATATCATATTCATACCAGATATTCCTGTGTCTAAGCTTACTTACAAGTCGGTATAATTAGGTTTTCCAACAGCAGAGTCAAACATAATCCAGCTGAATAAAAGGAATTTTATAAAAAGCTTTTGAATTAAATCTCCAGTTTCAGATTCTTTGTTCTGCTGTTTGACTCTGACCCGCAGAGAATGTATTATTCATGTTTCTGCTCTGAACCTGCTGCATTCATTACGCACACACACACAGTCATTAAGTGTCATTTAAAACAAACTGCGTCTCTGTCTCTGCTGGAGGCCTTTCAGTCCAAACGAGCCACAATTTAGGAAATGTTTTCCAGCTTGGAGGACAAATTATGTCCAGACAGAACAAAATGCCTGCAGCTTGCGTTTCTGTGAGTTTTGAACCTGCTTTTGCTTCGTGTTGTCTGACCTTTGTTGGTAAACCCTGACGGGCTCTTGATGTTGGGTTCAGACCACATCATCAGATGGTCATGGTGCCAGAAAACAGGTCATTTTAGAGGAGAGAAATAACACGCTCATTTCGAATAATTAGTCAATAGTTGGTCAATTGAAAGAGAAACTTGTCGTTCTTACCATTAATGTACCATTCCTCTCCTACTTTAGAAAATGCTCAATTTAGTTTGAAGCCATTCATCAATAAATGACAAATCTTCTTGGGGACTTGATGGGTTTATCTACAAGTGTCAAGCATTTCAGAGCAATCTGCTTCTTCCTCTAGCTAAAAACAAAGCACGCCATTTTTGAATTCTAGAGGTTTTAACAGGACAGACATCTAGCCTGAACTGGACTACGAGATTATTTGAATCATGACTCAAATGTATTCACACTGTAATTTATCAAAGACGAGGCAGAGATTACAACTGCATGGAAAAACTACAAGGACTCCATTGCTGCTTCTACAGGATTAAAAAGGGAAATTAGCAGCCAGGTGCTGATAAACAAACGCATTGGTCGATTGGTCATCATCACTGTGAGCTCCTATAAAACATGCAGGTCATCAACTATTCTGGAGCATCCAGGTGTGTGTTAATGAAATTTAAAAAATAAAAGACATCAACCACAACCTCAGAGAGGAAACGGTTATTAGCTGTTTTTTCATCCCAAATGTCCAAACTTTTAAAATGCAGAAAAAAAGAAAATGCAAATTAGCCATGAGAGTGAGGTAACCCAGATGCAAAGCATAATGTCGTCATACGTTACTCTTCGCTGCAAAAGAAAAACAGGAAATAAAGTTAGTAACGGACGCAGGTTCTAATCTATGTGTAGCAATCAAGAAAATTGCAGTTACTTTATTATGTCTTGTAGTATTAGAGATGTTGCACAGCATCCAGAGATCTCGAGAGGAAATGTGATTCTAATAACACGCCGGCAGCGGAAACAGCTGATCAGTCATGCGAGGTAAATATTCGATATGTCAGAACTTATTCAACAAATACGTTTCCAGCTCCTCTTATGTGCATTTACTTTTTTTTTTAAGTAAAACAGAATAGAACATTTAATTTTTGGAAAGAATCATAAACTAATTCAAGCAAGCGTAAACAAATTAGGGGGGAAATTTAGTAAGTTCAGTACTAACCATGAATCTATGAAGGAAGCAGAGGGAATAATTATTAATACTGTAAGTGTAAAAGTTTTAAAATGGCACTCGAATCCCAGATAGTCCAGCAAAACCTCCCCAAGCTGAGGCCTTACTGGGCTCTGACCTCTGGAGTTTTTGTTTTTTCACTATTGCAGATTGCAAAGGTCCCAGTTAGCATCCTGAACGTAACATCAGTGTTATGTTAAAAAAAAAAATTAAACATTTTTATTGTGTTCTTCAGAAAAAAAAACAAAAAAAAAACTTACTGTTAAACTGCATTTATGCCGAGTCAGGCCCAACTCCTTTAAATCTTTTCTTATTTTTAAAACTCCAAGATAAAACGTTCGTGTTAGGAATAATAAAAGATAAGTTTGATGTAAAGAACAACAAATTTGTTATAAACATTCCCTCTAAATAAACAAAATAGACAATTATTAGAAGAACAAAGCTTTTCAGCACAGTATAGGAAGAATGGTGATATGGACTCATTTTACAGGAACAGGTAATGATGCACGAAAATAAAATGACAGACTATTCTGGAATCACCGAGCTGACTGAGTTCTTCCTGCTGGTAGTGGTTCTACAAGCTGCTGAATTCAGAGCCGTTTGTAGTTTATCCAGTCACTAAATTTTAGAATTTAGTATTTAGAATATTACAATGGATTCTAATAGAAGTACAGAGCGTTTAGTACTCACAGATGTAGTAGTACTCATGTCCCGGCCTGAACTCGAAGCCCAGGCTGAAGGGCGTGAACAGCTGGAACTTCTCGGAGAACTTGAGCGGCCCGTTGGGGCTCTGTGGCCGGTTGCACTCCCAGCGTTTAAAGCCGTTCCTGTAGTGGTTGCAGCTCATGTAGCCGTCGTAGTTCACCATGTAAAGAACGTAGTGCTCCATGCGCTCGGCCGACTCTGGCACCTCGTAGTGAGGACAGTAGATGTCCAGGTAGTCATTGATTGCCACCTCCACTGTGTAGTCACCCCGGAAGAACCTGATGAGGTAAACAAGGGGCCCACATTTAATTTGATGAATCAGTAAAATTTTTATGAGAAAAATAAAGGAGACATCATCTGAAGAACTGTATATTTCAATCAGCAATGGTTTATTAAGTTATCTAACACAAAAGCTTGAGGTTTGTTTCATTTAAAAATACAACATCAGTAATGCTATATTCAGACCGCATGCAGCAGAAACAGCAAAAACGTGGGTGCTGCTTCATTTTTTATACTTGTACAAGTTTAGTTCTGACACGCAGCTGAAGCATCTTTGCTGCTCTAGCTGGCCGGTCGAAAAGCTTTTGCTGCTTCATTTTTTTATATTTGTACACATTAGGGTCAGACGTCCAGTAAAGTGTGTCTAGATGCTTCTGCTCCTGTGTTCAGTGGCAGAGAGCGGCTTTGCTATATCTGCTGTGATAAGTTGGTCAAAAGTAGTTCTAATATGTTTTTAAGTAAGAAAGTCCACCTGAAAACTTCATCTGTGCAGTCAGTTCATCAAGATTACGATCCTGCCTTCAAATATTATATCGCTGTAGGAGCCGCTCAGACCCCTTAAACAACAGCCTCTGGCCCGGTCCCGGTTTTCCGCTACTGTTCGTGGCGACTGGAAGGTGTTTTTCACATACGTAATCCAAACTGCAGGCACCGGAATAATAACATCAAAAATATTTTGCCTACAGGTTTCGACATTTTAAGTTATTTTAGGCGTTAATAAACTGTTTCAGAGGAGTAATCGTAGTGATCTGCATCAGCAGTGCTGTGTCTGTTTCACTGCCAGCTCCCAGATCAGCTTCTGATTGGCTGATGTGGGGCATCCAGCAGCAAAAGTAAAATTTTTCCAACTGCTGCTGCTTCTGAAGTGCATCACATGCGTCGGATGCTCAGAAGCTCTTGAGGCGCTGCCTCAGCTGCTCAGACGTGCTGCTCCTGCTGCTCAAAATGCGCTGCAGGACCTTTTGCTGCACCTTGATGCTTGTCAACCATAGACTTTGCATATAAACTAGCTGCTTCTGCTGCCTCTGCAGCGTGCGGTCAGAACGTAGCATAAGACACTGTGGTTGTGCAACTAGTTTGAGGGCATCAGAGTGAGAACAAGTTATGAACAATGCATGTCCTCTTTGTAGTTATGTTTATAAATGTTGATCTTAGATCAGATCAGGATTGTATAGATTCTTAACAAACACAGCTTGAGAAAGAGCATTTATTAATCAATCTGGTGTTATTACTACAAATGTTGCCTGGCGATCCTCTGCAGGAACTGAGAATACAGCAGAAGGTGGATCAAATATTCATTTTACAAGTGATAAAAGATTAAGGATCAGGGGTTGGCAGGGGCCAGGGGAGCCATAACCGCTCTAACCCAATCACTGGCCCAACGCTGTGGCCATCCCTGTCAGGTGATTTGTTGTTCCTCCTGGGATTTAATGTATGTAAATTATGTAGAACCATAAATTCCTTTAAACAGCACTAATGTATAACTATGCGTATGGCTTTATCAGCAAGGACCATAATGAAAATCTGGTCTGTCTTCAGTAATTTGTTTAAAGAAATTATCTTGGTTCATATTATAAATGTAAACTGAACTAAATTAACATTTGTTCAAGTGCAACTTTCCATTAAATGTATTCAACAGAGATATATGGGCAAAAATAGCTGGTTTCTGGTACTTGGACATAGGTCAGGGTACAATGATTACACTTTTTCCTGCCTGATACTGATTCAGATTTTGATTTTATTCTGGGGAACAAAAAACAGAAAAGACAAAAAAGTGCAGGAGATGTTAAATTGGAGGAAGAGATTTGAAATCCAACTGAAGATTAGCAAATTACAAAAATGTTCCTATTTATGCATCAAAATATGTGACTCTAATCATCTGATTTTTAATATCTGGTGTTTGATAATGTTCATATTGATTATTCGATTCTCTGATTTTCATCATTAGACATGCAGATCAACAACCAGAGCCAATTAAGAAAATTTCTGCAAATCTGTTCTCCAGCTGAATTATTCATGCATCTGTAGTGTTTTTAGTGTAGCTGTTAATGGGAGGAGACAGACATCGTTAAATACAAAACTTTCATCATTAAAGAAGAACATTAACTTTACAAATTAAAGTTGGAGTTCTTTCCTTTTTCTCCTCCCAACAACAGGGTGAAAAAGGGCAGAATATGTTTCTTCAAATAAATGTGACTTCTAACAGACATAAAAGGGAAAAATAGAAGAAAACCCCCCAAAAATTTGAAAATTAAAAAAGACATAAGACGGGAAAGGTAATGGGAAAAAAAGAAAACAGGAAAGGAATATATATTTACAAAAAAAAAGTAGGCAACTCCTCTAATGCTTCTTTCTTTTTTTTTTTTTTTATTTTTTTGTTTTTTCCGGGGCCCAGGGGGGAAAAAAAGAAAAATAACAGCACAATATGTTAATAAAAAAAACATTCCATTAGAGCTGATGAGACAAAACGTTTCCCTCATAGAAAAATTAAAGAAAGTGAAACAGGAAAATAATAGTTAATTTGTTTTGCTTTAACATTTATGCAAACGGCTACTTTAAAAAAAGCCTGAATGATTTTAGTTTTTCTCAAATTCATCACCTGAAAAAGCAGTTTTAGGGTTGAGATGATGATTTCAGAGCTGAAATTAATATTTTATCCATCACATTTTAAAGTTCTAAAAAACAAACAAAAAAGCTGTTGATGAAATATATAAAAGGATCCAAAAATCGAATGTTTTGAATAAAAATTTTAAGTTTAGCCATTTCCTAAAGCTGTGTTTGCTCCAAGCAAACCTGCTTTCATGTTTTACAATTTCCTGACAATTAAAAAAAAAAAAAACATGCTGAAACATTTCTGGACCAGATTTAGGGAACAAAAAGAGCAGCAGCAGCTACTCAAGTTCATGTTTCTAACATGAGCCTGCAGACGACATGAAAGAGCACAAAGAAGCAGAGCAATAAAAAGTGTTTCCGAGTTCAGGTTAATCCATCCCATGCATGCAGCCGCCCAGAGTTCACCGTCTCCAGGTCCAAACGCCACACATGGAAACAATTGATCATCGGCTGCTCGTGTGCGTGTGTTTTCCCCCAAACCCCGAGGGGCACCAATTAATCAGGGTGGACCGTTTATCAGAGCGTTTTGGTGTTTACAGAAGGGAGACGTTGCTACCAGCTGGACCCGCTTCCTGCCGGCAGCGGCCTCTTAGAACTGCTCTTGCTCACTTGGAAGAACTCTTTTTCTGCCGTTCAAGTGACGGGAACACCAGAAAATAAAACAAATAACTGAGCCACACTGATGCAAACTGATATCGAGACAGCTACAAACAACGGCAGCCGTCTTAAATCCCATCATCAATCAGGATTCGGTTATTTCTAACGTTTATTTTTCACTCTTAAGACCATTTTTTACACAAACATTGGTTTATATCAATGCTTAACACTGATGAATGTAGCATCTAGGTTTTCCTTAGTTGGATTTTACCCTTTTTAGAGCACGTTTGACATTTTTTTAAGGACAACATGCACACATTATGGACAGAACTTAGTCCAAAGTCCCCAAAAAAAACCTCCAGATCTTCCAAATCCAAAGGAACTTTGGTTGATTAATGAGGTTTAAAACAAATTACAGAAAATTGTGAAGATGTAGGTTTCTCTGATGACTTCAGCACAGATACATCAACAAATATTCTTCAGACAGCTGGTTGCTGATGACTGTTTCAGATCGCAGTCGTCATGCTTTAACCGTTTGCTTGAACACGATGAACTCTTACACTCTCCAGAGGGACCAAAGACAGAAACTAATGAGGCCAAGACTTGAAAACTTGAACCCACAAGCACAAAGCAGGAAACAACACTCCACCCTTGTGGGATTCAAGGTAAGGAAAACGAGCACTCCCCAGACAGCGGGTGGGTCCCTGCAGACGGCGGGAGGGGGTGTTTTGTTACTGTAACTTTAAACTTTAGTTTAGTCTTCAACAAGAAATGTTACAGTTCTGTGGTGAAGTTCAGACTTTTGTTGCGCAAACTGCCTGAAAACACGATTTCAGGTCCAAAACTGAAACCTAAATATGTTCAAGTCTGTTCTAGATGTCGTGGTTTATTGTTTGGGCTTGAAAGTTTGGATAGTTCTCAGGAGGCAGTTTTACACCACCTGGTCTGCATTTACTAAATCAGTCCCTTGTTGCTGATAATTTATTAAAACGCCACACAGATTCTTTCAGACTTTGACAAAATAATCCTTCACCACACCTTTTTCCTCACTGGTACATTTATCTTATCATTTATTAGTGTGGAGATATTTATGATGCAATCAAAGAAGAAGAAAATACTACAGTATAAAGTGAGGCTAAATGGATCTTGTTACAGAAAAGGGAGTTTTTTATTTTGTTTTTGCAAATAAACCCCAAGTAAAGAGGGGGATACAGCAAGTCCCCATAATTCAGAACATTTTCCTTCTGAATAAATCCAGTAGCAGTTTTTTTTTTACTATTATCAGAAAATAATTCAAGGCCTTTTAAGCATCTTTGCTAAAGGGTCCTAATATGAAATAAGGTTTCTTGTCACTTTTTTCTGAGCAATAGATAGCAAATTCCTAAACTGCAGATTCCTAGGTTAAATATACATTTTGTTTTTAAAATGAGAAAAAGATCTGAGGCCTGTTTCATGAAGTAGGTTTAAGAAACATGAACTCAAATCGTCAACTCTGCATCAATCTAGCTTCAGAATCAGAAATACTTTAATAAACCCAGAGACAAATTACTTAATTTTTAATTAACTAGAGTAGAGGAGATTGACTCTGAATTAAGCAAGTGCAAAACAAGTATGAAAAGCCATTATCAGTGGAATGAGTCACCATGTTTGTTTTTTTTAACACCTAATGATTCTAATGACCTATGACTGATTTTCTTTTTAGTGTTCGCACAAATCTACAACAAATATCTGCAGATTAAATAATGACAGAAGAACATGGTTGGCTTTAAGAAAAGCAGAGATAAAGGAC